CTGCTCACACTGAAAAAAAATTAGAGGGAACATTGTTTGGCACTCTCTGCTTCTGCAGCTGCCTTCTCTGCCTGAACTTTGGCTGCTGCAGCTGCTCTTCTCTTGCTGCCTCTAGATCCACCTCTGCCATCTCAGCTTCTAGTAGTACTTCTCCAGCTGTAGATATCCATGACCTTTGTCTGTAACGGGAAGATTGCTGCGAGACGCTGCTACCTGTTCGAGATCGAGTTGCTTTTGATTGGAAAGATGAGGCCTTTCTGGAGACGTGGGAGGAAGCTGCGTGTGTGTGTTGAGATGTCATATGTAGCTCCCTGTCATGCTCCCAAGAAAGCATCTTCATCCAATCCCAAGGACACATCAGAGACAAATGCCGGATCCGAAGTGTCTCGTCGTTCGCAAGCACCTCCTCAGTGGTCACATGCAGCCCCCTCTCACGCTTCTAAGAGGAGATCCTCATCTAGTCCCATAGTTACACAGGGAGAGAAGGCCGCATCTGTGGGGTCTCATCGTTCACATACGACATCTCAACAGTCACATGCAGCTTCCTCCCATGTCTCCAGAAAGGCCTCATCTTTCCAATCAAAAGCAACTCGATCTCGAACAGGTAACAGCGTCTCGCAGCAATCTTTCCATTACAGCCAAAGGTCACAGATATCTACAGCTGGAGAAGCACTAATAGAAGCTGAGATGGCAGAGGTGGATCTAGAGGCAGCAAGAAAAGAGCAGCTGCAGAAGCCAAAGCTCAGGCAGAGAAGGCAGCTACAGAAGCAGAGAGTGCCAAAGTTCAGGTTCAACTGGAATACCTTCAACGCAAGCGGGAAGTGAAAAAAAGACTAATACGGGCCAAAGTTCTACAGGCCGAGGCTGGTGGTGCCTTCCTCAACTTCGATCCTAGGAAGTTAGAAGCAGAGAACCCAGATGCACGTGTTGAAGCCTACGTAAACGGCCAACATGTAATACAACAGGAACAATCAACAAACCCACAAGCTAACGAGACAGTTGATGTCATACAATCTGCATCACTCGATCCTTCCCTTAGAACTGGAGAGCCCAACCCGACGAACCCAGACACACGAGGCAATCTCAACTATGGGCCAGCGACATCAAACAATCCTCAGCCAGCAGAGACACAAATAGTCGCAAGTGGCAACCTCAGCGTCGAGGCAAAGGAATTCCAGCCAATACTTCAAGGCAACTTGAACAGGAATGAACAGAATTATAAACACAGTCAACCTGCAGAGCAACAACGAAAACAACCTTTGGCTACACTGTGGCAATATGAAGTTGCACAGAACCTTTCGGAAGAGAAACACCAGCCGTTCTCAGCCACCATGCCCCCTCCTATAGACCGCACCTGTTCGAACCAACAGGAGGCCACTGGTCCTGATCCACCCAAAGCTGTGGGGCACACCTTACCGACTCCCCCAGCATTCCATCCTGGGGCAGATTGGCAACCTTGCCAGAGGAAGGTGAATTTGGCAGCTAGAGGGATAGAGAAGTTCTCAGACAAACCAGGCCAAGAATATCAGGTATGGAGGGAGATCTTCCAACGTGCTATCCGTGCTGAGAAGATAGAGCCTGTAAGAGATTGTAAGCCTGGTTAGGCCCAAAGTCTAAGCTAATAGTTACAGGAATCTACCACACTTACCTGAAGGATCCANTCAGAAGAATCTTAACACTGAACTGTAAGTTTTGCTATTAAGGATGCCTGATAATAAACGTGATCTGAAAGACATTCCTAAGTGTGGAGTTAACTGGCTGCCCAAGCAGAACCTCATTGCCCGGGGCAGAACAGTTCTAAATATTTCCCGTGGTTTCAGTATAATTAAAGAATAGATAATTCCCTCCCTCATGGTTACTGATTATATTGTCCAATTAGCTGTTATGGCATCTCCTTGGCAACTACCCTCAGTTGCCAGCACCTGTTGAGATTACCTTGGTTTCCACAGGATGATCTGTTAACATTCCAAACTCTTACTGCAATCCCCTCTTTGTGTTTTCGCACCCCTGCTTCAGAGAGTCCATTCTCTCATTTAATGACACAGATGAGGGAGGCTCACTGGGAAGTTTGGTCATGGGAACAAATTCCATGCTGCTGGTGACCTGAAAGGGGGTCAGACCAGTGCTATTATTAGCAGCAGAATTGTTGCAGAAAATGACAGGCTTAGACTTCTCAGGAAACAGGAGGAGTTTATTGGCAGCCAGGTTCAGAAAGCTAGCCCGTGGCTAGTATTGCAAGTTCTGAAAAACTTTCATTATCGAAGCACACATTCTTATACATTGTCAAAGGCAGCACAACATGAAAACACTTAACTCATTTCTTATTGGTTACCTTGAGGAAAAAGCCTTGTAAGGAGATGGGGTCTTACTTCTCCTTTTGTCTTGGGACACAGGTATGGACTACATGTCTTTATGCGAACTTTAATTGAACCTTGTGGTTTTGGACTTTTGACACAGGGACGTTTGCTGGAACAAGCTGTGGTTGAAGGCTGATGACATTTCCCTGTCCCTTTAAGCAGGCTTCTAGCTGTCTCTTCTGCCACGTCTCTGTTTTTATATTTTTAATCCATATTTTATTCTACTTTATCTCCCCCCTTCTAGACTCTATTAATAACCACAATTGAGTCTAGCCTATTTCAGGGTTCCTCTTTTTGATTAACAATATAAGCATGCAGAATACATAACAGCAAGGAAACAAGCAATACACATCTTAGGGCTTATCTTCCAAAAGTACTTTCTCCACTCCTAAGAGTGCAATTTGAACATACAAGCTAGTATTGAAATTTTATCTTTCTCATCGGGATGTGGGATATGGTTAATAAGGTTTTCCATCAGCATTAACTCCTTTTCAACCAATATTCCCTTTACGAACCTCATAACGAGTTGCTTAAGTAGGGGTATTATGCAAAGGAGAAAGGCTAAGCTTGCAATGCCACATAACAAAAGAAACAGT